CCCCAAAACCCCAAAACCCCAAAACCCCGTATAATAATTTGCACAAGAAATGATGGAAGTGAATAATATAAGAATTAATTAGATTTAAAATTAATAAGAACTCTAAGAAAAATAAATAATGGGAGCTAATTGCACAACTTGCCAAAGTTGTCAAGGTGAAAATGAATTCAATGATATTGACCCGAGATAAAGTATCACTTAGATGAATACCTAAACTAAAGGCTATGCTTAAAAGACCAATTCAAAATATGTATGTATTTTAAAGCGAGTGATAATTATATATTTAGCAAGGAGACCTACATTACAAAATGCATGTGAAAAAACTAATCACAATTTAAGCCCTTTATAGAGGCATTAAAGCTAGAGCTCAGTTTAGCACTATGCTATTGAATACTAAGGTAAAATTCTTAATATATATTGACTGAACACGATATAGGTGACTAGCAAGTACTTTACTGATGATGAGGCTAAAGAAACATTGTATGGAGTTTTTAAGCCGAAAGGAAAATTAACAGTCAAAACTTATAAGTATAAAAATGGGGCAGTATACAACGGAGAATGGCTAGGAGGATTCAGACAAGGCAAAGGTATTATGAAATGGACAGATGGCGCTATCTATGAGGGAGAATGGTCTTATGGATAGGCATTCGGAGATGGAAAGTTTCATCATGTTGATGGAGATGTATACGAGGGCCAGTGGTCTAATAATAAAGCAAATGGCTATGGATTTTATACTAATGTAAAAGGCGCAAGATATGAGGGCTATTGGAAAGATGATTAATAACACGGCAAGGGTATTGAAACATGGCATGAGGGTTCTAGATATGAAGGAAACTATGCTTATGGCAAGAAAGAGGGCTTTGGAAAGTATTGCTGGGCAGATGGCTCAATTTACGAGGGAGAATGGGTTGATAATAGAATCAACGGCAGAGGCATCTATCTCTGGAAAGACGGGAGAAAGTACTATGGCGAGTGGAAGAATAATGATATGCATGGTGTAGGTATATATTTCTGGGCTGATGGACGAAAATTCGAAGGCCAATACTCAGGGGATAAAAAGGATGGTTTTGGAACATATTATTGGACAGATGGCAGAAAGTATGAGGGATGGTGGAGCCGCGGCAAACAGCACGGTCTCGGAACCTATATTGATCCTGCAAAAGGGAAAGTCAAGTATGGGCTTTGGGAAAATGGCAAAAGAGTCAAGTGGTTTGATGAGTAGACGATAAAACTTATCAACACAAGAACATTTGACTTTACTACATAATTCTAGGAAGACGGCAGTGCTAACCTAGTTCAACCAAACTGTACATTTTCTAAACCAGATGACTTAGATTTTCAAACTAATAAAATAAAGAGGGATCTAAAAGTGCCTAATCAAGCATGAATGCAAACAGTAGCTAAATACTATCCAATTATCTATACCACTCTTTATTCTATTCTTAATTGTATTAACTGGTTCAGTATTCCAAAAATTTTGAAGACATTTGTTTTAAGGGGTTTTGGGGTTTTGGGGTTTTGGGG